TTCCTAATATTTGGTGTGAAATTGGTGCAACTGATTTGCATTAACTCGTTAAGATGTTCATCTGTTAACCGAGATCTGAAATTTTTTTTRATGAAGTTCATCTTAGAAAAAGCGGCTTCACAAACATATGTTGATCCAAACATTGTACAGTTTTGAAACCAGGTGTTTTAGTTCTGGGTATTTACTTGAACAAACATATTTCATCCAGAATTGATCGTACTGTAAAGTGTTGATGACTTGAATAAATTTTTCCTTTAAATTCAAGTCTTCCTGGAATTCGATTATCTCCATCTGTAGGGTAGCTTTATTAGAGCCAAAAACACTTCTGGCTTCACTACTCCATTCACCGTTGGGATGTAAAGAAAAACAATTATTCAAAATTTGCACTACATTCTCAATTTTTTTGAAATCAGTAAATCTATCTTTAAATTCAGATTTAAGTTTCTTTATAAAATTAATAATCTAATTCGAAATTTGTACAAGAAAAACTAATAATCGAACACGAACGGYGGTGCACACGTATTACTGCGAACTATACACGTGTTCTACGTAGTAGGTAGACAGACGCTCGACGTTACGATCATATCTTATTATTTATTATCGGATTTAAACTAGATAAAAACTATTTCGTGGATAAGGCCCGTTTCACATGGACGCGTATCATACACGACRTWTCRTACGTGCGCATTTTAATTTACATTGGTYAAATTCATACGCGTCACTCCGACGACGGCGCATTTCCCTCGCTGGTTTGGCGCGTATGAACTTAATCAATGTAAAATGAAAACGCGCTYGTAGTCCGTAAAAAAAGTGCTCGAGGTCCGTATCCGGACCGCGGTCCGCCAGTTGGTGACCCCTGCCCTAGATAATACTCTTACCTTAAATTTTATAACAGGTAAAAATACACTCTAATTTTAAAAATTACAAAGTAAAATGTATTATTATGAATGTACAATTTGCGTTGCAGTATGTTTTTAAGACGGAGACAACAAATGCCTGTGTGGTATCCTCTTGAATTAAATTGAAACTTGAATAGAATTAAATTGGTTATTTTGGTTAGATACAAAACTAAAAAGTTTGATTTAAAATTGAATTCAAAATAATGYATATGTCAGTAATAAATTAAATTTTTAATAAAGKTTTGATTTAACATGCAATTCATAATTTTAGTTAGAGATCATATTTTTCAGTTCAACCCATCCAGTGGCGGCTTCACTTCAATTTACCTTTATAATAATTTATTACGAACCCATCATCAGCATGCATGTACAATGTGCTGTAGGTAGAGCTCGTGATCACTMAAGTGAATGTTATCAAAAAGCAGAGATGGGAGAGTGAAATTGACAAAAAAAAAAATTACAGATACTTTTTAGATAGCGATTAAAAGCAAACATTTTATAATTCAGTTTCTATATTGAAACTGAATATCTAAAGTTAATATTTTTAATTATCATCTGTTGTAGATTTGGAAAATGTAATAAATAATATATAATAGCTATTAAATGTTTCATAAAAAAGTACTTGGGAAAATGCATAATGTCTATAATCCATTGAAATTTACTAAATTCCTGCATCATTAATTATTAGACCTGTGAACCGCCACTGCCTACCACAAGTAAATATATAATATATATAATATATTTATAGTTTTATACTTACCACATTGTACAGATCTTTTCTTGCATCTTCTATCGAAGCTTGTTTCATCAGTACTACACCTCTTTGATAACGTGCCTAATGAAAAATATAAATTACAGCATAAGTAAAATATAACTTTTAAAATTCTATATAATAAATAAAAATCTTATTTACTCACAGCTGTAAAATCTGGTTTGAGTTCTAGAACCTTGCTAAAATCTAATAAAGCAAATTTAGCTTTTCCAAGGGCTAAATAAACTGTACCTCTTTTAAAATAAGTTAAATAATTGTTTGGATCACCCTCTGAAAAAWAATAAATATATGTTACAGGTTATTACTTAAAAAGATACATTTTTAGATATAAATTAAAGTTATTTTTGGATCTTAAATAACTTTGGACTAATCTTTTGATATTATAAAACATAAACCATTGGAATCTAATGATAAGATAAAACAAATTTATTCAAGATATATTATAATACAATAACAACAGAGTTGTATTACAATATATAATACATATTATGACTACATGAAGTATATTACTTTATGTTTTAATTGGCATTAAAATTAAAAATCAATATTATTAAGCACATATAGTTTGCCAGTAAACATAAAATCAGTGATATCGAAGATAAAAATAACCATGAGGTACCCACATATATATAGCCAAATATATAGTATATTTAATGAATGCCATTAATATTTAAATCAAATAAAAGCTGTAAATACTTTTAATGCCACTCGCAATAAGTAGRTGAGAGAAATAAAAGGTACAAAAGTATTTTATTATTTTAACATTTTAACATTAATTACAAAATATACAATCTACAATTATTATTTTACAATAAGCGTATATGACAGAGGTAACATGACTTGAAAGACCGGAGATAGGGAGCCACTCGTACAAAATAATTAAAGTGCATAATATGAAAGCTCAGAATAAATATGAATGAATTAAATTTGGGATTGCAAATTAAAATGTTAATAAATTGTGAGATACTTAGTATGTATTTAAGTATATATTATTTACCTACATATAGTATGGATAAAATAATTGAAGATGCATAATGTCATTGGGGTCTATTGGTCATTTTTATGGTCTTATAAAATGGTATTAAATAAACCATTAACATTAACATAAATAATTGTTTACTCGATCACACCAACATCATTAATGCTAAATWCTATTGGTGTTTCTCTAGACAACAGGGATTTCAAATTCGATTAGGCAATAAGAGAATGTATTCACTTGCCTACAGCGGCGTGATAATGGGATAAGGCATCTTGGAGTTGTCCACGGGCCAGGAACTCGCGTCCCATATCCAAATGGTTTTCGACCTCGGTGGAACCTGCRGATCGAACGAAAAATAAATATAAATAAAATGTATTAATAACTACAGATCCGAGGGTAGTATTCGGAAGCACGCAAAGGCACTGCTTACCCAATATTACTGAACAATCCAAGGCCAAGAAAAACAAACAAGTGGAGTACAGCTTCGGCCGCATCCTGTGCCACGTATCCATAACTGTGGCGGAAAAAGTCACTTTAGTTCTCTAGACGTGTCGGGCGTACTTAGGTGCGAGGCGGCTGGTCGTGATGATCCGGAGAGGAACAAATCGCATCCTACGCGACGAAATGACAATACGTCCGGGGAAGTGCGGCGTAAACGAACGATATCTGAGGAGTGAGCACTGAGGTCTGAGCGGGTCACCAAAACTCCAAACCGAATCGGTTCCCACCGCCGTTGTGACGACTGATAACACAAAACGCTGATAACGATTGAGACGGCCGTGTTTGGCGTAGGGTCGATCCGACACTTATGCGCGKAGCGGACGGGTATAGGATCAAACGCTACCGTAGGCCGACCGGTCAGGCGCCGTGTTGTGCTATCATTGGTCCGTTTAGTTTTCCGCGCCAAAGCGTCAGGAAAAACGATGTACTGAAGGTATTTGAAAGCTTAAAAAAAGTAGCCGAAAAATCAATACTTTTTTTTGATTAATTAATAACAATTGTATATAGGTACTTAAGTTACACTTCAAAAACTTCTTGKTTACCTACCTAAAAAAAAAATCAGTAATTGATTTATATCTTCGCATGTTTTGGTACTTATAAATCCTAACTCTTGATTTATTCAACCTTTTTTTCCTTGTTTAACCGACAGCAAAGGAAGCTCTGTTTTAACAATACACTACCTACTCCTCTGCTGCCATCGTTTATGGCAAATGAATTTAAATACACTTAATATATAACAAACCTACATAAAAAGATGATTTATTCAACCTATTAACCTTCAAAGTCTAATGCAGAATACTACTCAAACACTGTAATAAAAATGTACAAAATATATTCAATATTGAACCATAAAAATTTAGTTTTTCTAAATTAATTGTTATTTATAGGTATTTAACTTTTTCTCGCAGTGCTTAGCCACCCACGACCCATTGATATCAAATAGACGATTTGTGCCTATCATACAATTAGTT